ACAATCATTTATTGAAAACAAATCCATACTCTGAATTGCGAGGGACAGTGCTAACACTCATTTGAGGTGTTTGTCACTGAAGGTCTGCAGCTGATGACGATTTCAAACACGGTGCCTTGCTTACGTTGTTAATTAGCGGTATTATTTCACGAATGCAGCATTAATCAGTGCTGTGTTTCGACGAGTGCTGACACAGGCAATGTATACTTGCTTTAAAAATGTGAGGGTTTAGTTGCTCTTTATGGTTGTGTTCATCGCCAGGAAGAGAGATGGGTGCATGCAAGTCACTGAATATTATATATATATATATATATATATATGTATATATACTATTCTATATTGTGTTGTTAGCCATCACATTACAAGGCTGAAAACTGCTGCAGGAAAACTGTCCTTCCTGCCTCTTCATGTTTTTTTTGTTTTTTTTTTCATTATTGGTTCTCCAAACCTTTGGATCCTGACACTACAACAAAGATACATTTTTTTCATCTTGAGGATATTTCTAACTTATCATCACCATCGATCATTGTGAACACACATTGTGCAACCAACATAACATCCGAGTTGAATGCAGCAAAAGTAATAAATAATTCTGGGGCACATTGCTTGTACCAATACTGCAGTGTGAACATCTCCGGGCTTTGTTAACCACATTCCTCTCTTTGTTTACAATGAGGCATTGCGCTGCTTTTCTCACATCTCTTTCCTCTTTCAAGACAGTCACTTGTGTCATCTTGTCTGCCTTGCCGTTCTTCTGCAGCGAGCCTGCTTCATCTAAATTAACTAAAAGGCTGAAGATGGTTCACTATTGGTGGGGAAAAAAAAACACTCAGTCGATGTGCTCAAGGGAGGAGGAATGGCTGCAAACCATTAGCGAAATGACAAAATGAGGAAAATGAAGATGAGCTTCAAAAGCAAAACATTGCAGAATGTGCCTTTGAAAGAAAACAAGGCGAGTAATCGAGTAAAAAGCGTGTCAAGGAAAGGTGCAGAAAGGGCTCACTGTTCGTTCCGCCTCAGGTGGAAGGGAGGAAGAGGATGAGTAAACAGAAGAGAAAAGGATGGCGGGGTCATTAACTTGGCTAGCCGTGACCATCAGAAACATTAACGCTGTCCGCTCTGCTTTCTTCAAACTGCTCCCTTTGCGCTTTGAACTCCTCTTTTCTTCTCTCGAAGCCACCCTGACTCCCAGCTTCCGCCGCTATTATGGAACCTGCGCTGGCAATTACACATTTCCCAATTTCTGATGTCGCTTCAAAGCAAAGAGTCTTTCCACCAACGTAAACTGCAAAGCTTCGCTACAAAGCCGAGCCTGCGGGATAACCGCCGCCGCACATTTGTTTGCTGCCGGTCACTAATTCAATTAATATCAAAAGGCTTTCAGCCGACTTGAAAGAAAATTGTCCTGATACTCCGCTTTTATTATACATGTGACTTCTGATGTTTTTCTCTCTGAAAAGCGAAGTTTAATTTGACTCACTGTCAGCGCGTCTCTATTATGTTGGGTTTAAAGGATGTGCTCGTTTTTTTTTTTTTTTTTCCCGTTAATCGATTGAGCAGTAACGCCTGCCTAAAAATGGATTAACTCCTCAAATCCACATAAACGCTTCTTTCCTAACGTCTTTGATTGGATTGCCACCTCGTGAAAATTAAATGCACTTTGCTCATAAAAGGTCTGAGTCATGCACAGGGAGCTATTGATGACGGAGGAAGTTTGAACATCCGAGTAAATAACTCTGACAGCTTTGCACAACAAACGCTGACAAATGTAAAACTCAGCGGCACAAGAGTTCTTCAGTCAGCCTCCGAGGCCTGCAAGTCTGCAGATGAATCTCATTTAATGACCTGATTTATTTCATTGTTCTTTCATTGTCTTGGAAGAGACAATCCGAGGTACTTTGGAATGTCGTTTGCATAGCTATCACGTGTTTGATGTTTGAAACAGCACAATAGCCAGTTAGGATGGAAACCGGAACTTGCGCTGTTGCCGGACGCAGAGAGAGCAGCAACTGGCTGTGTTGAGTGTTTGTGTAACGTGTCTAGAAAATCAGTCACCACAATAAAAAGGACAAAGTGAAGAATTCGTAACTGCATTGCAATGTAGTCACTAGATAAGCTAACGGTTAGCCTACTGGATAAGCTAACAATTAGCCAAGTTTATTTTACTGTATTTCTCCATCACTTCTACTCCATCCTGTTTGTGGTTTCGGTATGGGGAGGAGACGAACGATGGCACATATCGATATGTGTGCGACGTATTGTGCTCAGCGATGTCCAGGAAGTCATGTGTTACCCTTATATGTCCATTGTTTACAGTAATGACTGAAGTCTTACTTTTCTCACTTACTTTGCAAAATTACAAATCATTACTCTATACCAGGGGTGCCCATTACGTCGATCTTGATCGACCAGTAGCTCAAGGACTGGTCCCAAGTTGATCCGAGGTGGAGAGGAAAAAAAAAACAAAAAAAAACATTTGTGTCTATGTGCATGTTAGTAAGATATTTGTTTGTGCTAATGTACACTGCACCCTAATCATTCTATCAGTCTCACTTTCACAAGAAGTATTTTAAAAAGAAAATAAAATAAAGCAGGTCATCTTTAACTTACGGTGACGTGTGACTGTGTCACCGGAAGTTGTTAGCGCTCAGCAGTCTGCAGTTGCAGCTTGTGATCAGAGTTGTTGCGCTATATCTTTTATTGTTATCATTATTCTCATTCAGAGTTTGTTTTGTACAATTCACCGAGGGGACGAGCAAAGAATGGGAATCTGGAGGGCCGAGAGAAGCATTTTAAAACGGTACGCGTGAGCCACGATCGTTAACAGGCTGCAAAAGTGCGTCGTGTGCCTCAGCGTCAGGCTATTGCTCATCATGGCATGCGTGTGTACGTGTGTGCGTGCGTTTGTGAGCGCGCGGTAACGGGTCGATCACGGGAGGTTGGTTGATCGAAAAGTAGATCTTCGGTCATAAAAGTTTGGGCACCCCCTGCTCTATACTACCGGTAATTAAAAATAGTGGCAAGCATGTACTTTGGAATGTGTTTGTACGATACTCTCAAGGTAGTCGTGGGCCTTGGCATTCAGTTTGCAAGTCATGCATCTCTGCTTGTCGCGGAAGAGGTGTACTTTACCGGAGATCGTTATCTTGAGCAACACAAGGACACCAACTGCGCAGTCGCCCACCATGATGACAATGAGCTTTTCTTCTGTTTTCACAAATGATTTCATTGACAATAATAGTCGTTTTCATGAACTTCCACTTTGAGACATAAAACACAGGTGTTGTGTCCTTTAAGAGCACAAATCAAGCTGTTTTCAGATGTTTTTAGTGAACAATTTTGTAGTGTAAATGGTATTGTTAGTTCTTTTAATAGAACCCCAGCTGTGTTGTGAGGTCAGCAGCCACGGGTCAATACGTGGAGCCCGGAGTTCAACACAAACATGCTGCATGAGCATTTAGCAAAGGGAATGAGCTGCCAAGAGAACTGAAGTTAGCCCCACGTGTAAGTGCTTTTAAATTCGGGTGCAAAACAATGCTTTTTATTCCATACCTATGACTACGTCCTTTGGTAATTTTAGTAAACTACTTTAACTTTAAATGCCTTGAATACTTCTGTTTTTTTTAATGACCAATTCTTTTGCTTAACAATGTTGTTCTGTAACTATGTGAAACACATTGAATTACCTTGTCTATGAAACGCGCTATATAAAGAAAGCTGCCTTGCCTTTTACAATTAAGTGGAAGACTTCAAGATGGAGCATCAAGCATAGCAGATAGATACGTGTGCAAATGATCAAATCGCCCAAATAATCAAGTGACATTTGTGAGTCATCTTTCTATTTCTCACATCTCTGACAGATGTGGGCCTAGAAAAGTAGTTGTGTCAAACTTCACAGTGTTGGTGCGCATGAAGTTTAAGGTCGTCCAGAGACACTTTGCTTGATGGAAAAGCTTCAACATGGCAGCAAGAAACAAGAAATGGGGCCACGGCTCCCACAGGAGCCACTTCCTCTCACCAAAGCTCAGTCTGCCCGAGAATTTAATTAGATTTCGATATCAAGCCTTTTCCCTCCTATGCTTCCATTCCTCTTCAACGTGCGTGAAATTGCATGGTACTATCTATTATTTATTCACACTCATTTGCTTATTGTTTCTTACGGAAGCCTTCGTTTGGGTCCTTGCAGCTCGGCTGCCTCCGATATGATGCTCCACTTCGTCTCCCTCACCACTCTGGCCCCCCTCCTCTGCAGATCAACTCGTTTGCTGGTGGGGGGCTGAGGGATGGGTAGATTTTTTTCTCCCCCCCCCCCCCCCCTTTTGCCCAATGACAGCACGGTGAGGTGCTATGAGGGCTGGGTGCTAATGAGCTGACTCTGCAATGCTGGGGAGATGCTCTCTAACACAGGGGGAGTGAGACGATGGAGCGCGCGGGCGGAGGCTCAGAGGGGCCATTATGACCATGCAGCACAGGGGTTAGAGGGATGAAGAGGCAGGCGAGGCATTTTGGCTCCGAGACACAGCCCCATTCACTTGGCTCATCTGTTCAAATGACATCCCCAAATGTCGCTCTCAACTCCATTCCTTCCTCGTTTATCCACTCGGTGTCTGCTAATTGCGATTCAAAAGGGGAAGCTTATTTGTCCGCGCTGCACCATACTGTACAGTATATGACCAATAAAACAGCCCATAAAAACGCTAAGAGCAAGGCAGTGCGTGTCATTCTCTACTGTTTTATATGGTAATTATCTTAACCCTTTCTAAATCAATTATATGAACAAATACAACCAACACACAAACTCCATAAACGCTTGCCACACTGTTTCTTTCCCAGGCCAGCATGTGTACAGTGTCACCAAGTGTACTTGTACAGTACGCCAGGCAAATGTGCGCGAAATATCACCACTGTAAACTCAACAGCAAGAGGAACGAATTTCGATGCGTGTGATAGAGTACATTTATTCATGCTGCCGTGCATGTCAAGAGGAGGGGCATACTCACACGCGTGGGTGACCGAGAAGCTGTTAGACGACTCCAGGTTGTCTACGTTGTAGTTGAGGTGGAAAGGCTTCTCGGTGGTGTTTTGGTTGGTGTTGTAGAGTTGCACCGCGAACCTGAAGGCGCTGTGCTCCTGCACCGTGGAGCGCATGAAGAGACCCCCTGCAAGTGGGAACAAGGCGACCACACCACGCGCATCATCACTTTTAGATGTTTACTAGTACATGAAAGCGGGTTTAACTCATTTTTGCGTGATCCAAGTGCCTTTTTGGATCACTTCAGCGGCGCGTATGGTTTAAGCACGCTCCATCCACATGTTTGGTTTTAATCCAAACGAACAATTCACTCGAAGGCTGCAGCATTTTTTTTTAAAGACGAACTCCGCCCATGCTATTGCGAGATAAAATCACAGTGCAGCACAGGTCATTTACAGCCGTAAATCACTTACCGATATTAATCTGATTTGGAAATCCCGCCGACGATGAGTCGAGGAGCCAGAGTAGCAACAGCACCAGGCTCCGTGCCATTTTTGTCAACTACAACCACTCTGTTCAACTCCTTGGGAAGAAGCTGGGCAAATGCATATGTTCGGCAAGATGACGATGGGAATCCAGTGGACAGATGATGGTCGCTCACAGTTGCACCAATAAGGCTCATTGAAGTGCGCGAGAGAGAAAGCGCGACGGAGAGAGAGGGAGAGAGCTCGCAGGGAGGAGGGAGGGAGAAGGAGTGTGAAGGAAATCTGATTGGACCGATGTTGGCCAAACCTGATCTGACATTAAATTATAAGGCAGCAACCTGCTACTTTGCCACAGCCTGGAATAATCACCCGCACTTGCCTGTATTAGACGACCAATCAATAGGAAGCACTGCAATCTCCGGTGGCCAATAGCTGGCTGCGTGGCCATTCCAGCTGCATGCTGCACCAACGCTTTACTTGTTTAGTTTTTTTTTTTTTTTCCTCACTGAAAGTCATGCGATATAGTTTGGATCATTTAGTGTCCATTATACTGTGGCATTTTTATTGGATAAAAATCAATGATGGGGCACCATCTGCTTTGGCAGGCAAAATCCATCCATCCATTTTTTATTACGCTTCACCTCATTAGGGTCATGGGTGAGCTGGAGCATATTCCAGGTGACTTTCGGAGTAAGGAAGTGTACATTCTGGACCGGTGGTTGGCTGTCTGTCGTTGGCCTTTTAAAACCCAAAGCCAGGAAAATGACTGCACTCTGTCTCGCTGCCTGTGCTTTTGTTAAAAATCCAAATTTGTAACTTTGCCAGCACAGCTATGCTTGCCTGCCTCAGGTTCACTGATGAGGCAGGTGATTCTATCATTTAAAAACTGAAGGTGTTCACAATAAGTTCTGCCAACAATAAAAGGACACATGACTAGTCACTGCCAACGTGTAAAAATTGCAGGGCAGTCAATTCTCAGTCACCCAATCAATGGACATAAACTTCCACAAAGCAAAGGCCTCTTCGCAATGTTATACTTCAACTAGACGCCTGTTATCGTCTGCAATTGACAGCATAAAGCTGTAAACTGTCCAGCTCTTGTTTTTCTATACATAACATGCTCCTGACCATCGTCTGAAGGACTCATAAAGACATGACAGGTTTCATTATCACTCTCATCAATATGCTTTGAGAATGTACTTTTAAAACTTTGGATATGTGTACCATTTGGTCATTCAACAAGGTGCCAAGAGTTAAGAGGAATTCTGATGATAATTTTTTATAGGGTACAAGTACAACTTTATTGTCAAATGATTGTCAATACATTTTGTTGATGTAGCTTGACAAACGTAAATTGACTCCTTTATTACCCTTATTTGTGTTCTGAGAATTCTTTACTATGTCTGTAAAAGAAATCAGTCGAGTACTTATGTGGAATGACCCGCTGATCATAGAGACATTTGCTTTCCAAAAAGGGTCAAAGGTGACATCTTCGACAATTCACTCGTTCCCTGGGGAAGAATCTGCAACCACATCACATGGATTCTTGTTCTTCACAGATTCTGGATCAGACTGACAGGATGTCATATTTGTGACCTCAGTGGTCTAAGTCATCATGACCGGTGTCAAAGCTTTCAATGGCTCTTCTCTGATGTTCCCTCACAACATGCAGGACATTGATGCATCGGAGTTAAACACCGTGGAGAAGTCTTATCCCCAGATAAGACTTCTCCACGGTGTTTCGCAAAGCAGAAATGAATGGGTTATTTGATTCGTTGCATGTTGGTTCTCCGTGTGAACTGGCTCATGACAAAGCATTGCGAAGATAACATTTAAGGAATTAGACCTATTAGGGGGTCTGAGTAATCGAGTTAAGACACAAATGAAACTGAGATTTGAAAACGAGTGATTGTGCAACATTGTCAGCAATTAAGAAATTCCTCAACTCGCCCTGTGCACAAATCCTACTCGGAACTGAGCGTTAAAACCACAGATGCAATCTAACTGGAAGCAAATAATTATGCCATCCGTGTTGTGTGAGGAGACAGAAAAAAGGTAGCTGAAAAGATGCTGTTGATGAGGTTTATTCCTCAAACACAAAAAACAAAAGACAGGAGCAGCAATTTTTCGGATGAGTTGTTGAAAATAAAAGATTGCTGTCTTCTCGTCTTGGTCTCAAATGAAGAAGAGCAGAAAATACTGTTGCCTTGAAGCAGTTCCATGTAGCTGAAGCTTTTTACGGTGTTTGCTGACTTTTGCTGTGGGACGAACACAAGTCAATGATGGAAAAATCCCTTCATCTCAAAATCTTACTCGCAGTTGTGGTTCCAATTGAAAGCTGTTCTTTTTTGTTTGTTTTTGACTTTAGCATTGAGAAGCAAAATCGTAAAATTTTGGGCAAAGTCCAACAACAATAACTCCAACCATTATTATTGACTTCAACAGAGCAGCTTCTGATGTCGCCTAAGCTGAATTTTCAGTGCTGATTCCTTTGTTCTCTTATGACCGGAATGTAATAATGGTGGGCAAGCTGGTGCATTGCAGTAAGGCAGGTTCAACCGCTGGCTCCGCTAACATTTAGCTCCATAAAACTCATTCGGCAGCATGTTCGTAGCAGCATTGGTAACTCCAACTGGTTGGGTAGAGCCTATGTATGAATTGGAGGTGCATACTGGTGAGTCTGTGCTCACTGCGCAGCCTCTTCGCAATGGCACTTGGGCAGAAGCGTGTGACTGCCACAAGCTCAACCATAAAGAGAAATAATCATCATCATAACCGTCAACTTATTGGTGATGAAAAGTAGTCAGAATCATGGCATTGATGGAGCACGTGCCTGCTGACTTAAGGTAAGAGGAAGAGAAAACACTGCAAAGATCATTTGACAGGAATAAGGCAGCTTTTGTAAAATCCTGGCATTCAATCATTTGTCAACAACAGCAGGTGTTTGGGAAAATGCAGCAGTCTGTTGCGGATTACTTTGGAGCTTTAAAAATAAGATGCTACAACACATTGTGGGCGTATGTTTTCAATCAGCAATGATGACTCCAAAATAGCACATCTCATTTTCGCAGATCATTCAAATTTGGGGAAAAACTTCTATGCAAATGCGATGGAACCTTGAAAGTCCAACAATCCATTCGGGAGTGGATTTTCGAACAATATATATATATTTTTTTTGTTTCCGCATTATAGCGTCATCAACACAACACCTTTAATAACTGCAGACTTGAGGAGGGCTGTTTACCTTGGCAACAACATTCATTACATCCAAAGTCACTGATGGTGGAGAAGTGGTACGCTCGCCCGACTTGTGAGTGGGCAGGTGGGACCGGTTCCCACTCAGTAATGGCGTGAATGTGGGTGTGAGTGGTTGTTTGTCTCTACACGTGCTCTGTGACTGACTGGTGACCAGTTTGGGGTGTAGTCTGCCTTCTGCTCAAAGTCAGTTGGAATAGGCTCCAGCAATTCCCCGCGACCCTCTTCAGGATAAGCGGTGTTGAAAATGGATGGATGGATACTTACAGTATATCCAATGACAAAGATACAAGTCCTGAAGTGTTTATTTTCACGATGACTTTTTACTCTTACTCACAACATTTGGAAACAGATATCTAAACTTTCTACTCCTTCATTTGTCAAACTGGACCATGCAGCTACTTTTCTTCAACCTTTGCTGACCAAAGACATAAATATAGGTAACGTCACCCATGGTTGAGCTCTTGATTGATTGAGATCTTGGGGCTTTTGTAAGTTGGAAGAAAACAGGGACAGGAGTGATCTGGAGGAACATGAACCAGGGTGCATTAACAACGATGACGGAACAGATTCGGAGAAACTATCCATGGTCTTATTCAACTCAGTAGCAGTAAAGTACATAGGGAAATATTAAGAATTGACAATGTTAATGTCAGTCATTAAAATATCATTTTTGATCATTTGGCACAAAAAAAAAACACCTTTCCACACAGATATAAATGTAGTACAGTACTTGTAATAAAAGAAAAAAAAAACTCTACACATTGATTTGAATTCTGAAGGGAAAATAAGGACTGAACTGGCATGTCCTGCATGAGCAAAAAAAAAAAAAAAAAAAATAGCTAACGTTAACAACTGAAAAATATACTTTTACCTGTAATTTTTCTTTCAGATTTGACATAGCATTTTTGAATTCCAGAAGAAATGTTTTGAATCATCCTGGTTGCCCAAAACATAAATAATAACAATAATGATACTAATAATATTAAAAGTCTCTTAAATTAGTGTTTCTATTTTTTTTTTTTTTAACACACAAGTATTCACACTTTTATTGCACAGAGTGTAATTACTTTTGCCACCCCTGCTGATGAGGAGTCGCATCATAGATGGAACCCTCGGAATCCAAACCCGTGTCGGCCTGCCAGTTGGCAACAAAGATCCATTCAGGCACGTAATCAATGCCACACAAAGAGCACTGCTCTTGCGCAGCTCAATGTTGATAATAAGTGACAACCCTGGAGTTTCACTGTCTTCAAATTGAGTCCATTAGTTCACTTATGGTAACTTACGGTGTATTTTATTCTCTTCATACATGCTTTTTCTTTTAAGACCCCTTGTTGAAGCTGGTCCTGCTTTTGGTATAAATGTTGCAAAAAAGCCAAAGCCTGCATACTCACTGAAGTAAAGACTTGTTCGGTACATTGAGTTCTCCCGCAACATCACGCAATGGCCACGGTTCGAACTCAGAAGATTTGTGTATGTGTTCCGCTAAACGTTGGTCGAATTCTGAATTCTATGACTAACTTCAGAGGTTCAACTCCACAGCAGTGCTTGATTAATGCCAGTGTAAGACGATCACTTGACTGATTTTTCCATTTGCAGAGTGTGTTTTTCCTCAATATCGAGGGGCATATTCTCCACATATGCGCGGTCAAGAAAGGCACTCAACCACTTGATATTTGGAGATCAATTGCATGACTCATCCGGTCTTGGCCAGATTTTGAAGGTTCATGAGAGACTCCGAAGGAGCTCCTTCCCTATTCTGTCAGCGCATCCTTCCATAAAAAGGACTGCAGCAAGACATTGGTCTGTGGCACCAGAAACTCTCTCACCGCTTTTGAATAGCACACATGTACACAACAAATCTCGCTGAATAAAACATTACATGGCACACAAAAATTCTCCAGTGGCGTAAACCATGTGAAAGAGTGGCTTTGAAGAAATTAAAAGTGCAACATTAGGCCACAGTTCCAAGGAATGAGATCACGCCAGACAGCAGTTTGACAA